CCCCCCCCCGGATGCTTTTTTCTACCTCCATGCTTTCTGTGACCCCGGGGCTTGTTCACTATACACTCAGGGGAGGAGTGCACTGTATCTGTTTACTTAACAGCAAAGTCTTCTTCAAAATCATGAAATGATGGCAGTGCCATGCAAACAATAACCCTAACAGCAGCCACCGTCGCCACAGCAATGTATGTTTTCATTGACAGTCTTGTTTCTACTGCATGTTTTTGTTTACTCGGTGGAAACTACGAGTAAATAACGTTACGGATCCGCGAATTTTGAAAATTTCGGATTGTAATAAGAATTACACTCTTATTGAACTATAAAGTGATGCAAGATGTAATAGTATGGCTTATAACGATGAAACATTCAAACACCATAGAAATCACTAGCCTCCATAGCATGCCAAAACTAGGGGTTTTGGGGGTCTTCAGGAGCTTTTATGTGCTATTTTCTGATTGAATATAGACAACATAGCCAGCCTGATTGAATAGAACTGGGCTGATCAGAAAACAGCCGAAGACCACCAAACCCCCAGTTCCATAGTTCACGGAGGCTAAGAAATCACTGCTTGCATAACGTTATGACTAAAGGCAAGACATGTTAACGTTATATGTATTGTCAAGTGATTTTCGATGGTTCAAATTCCCATTTTCTGGATTTGAAGATTTGAGTATCATGATGTTATCAATGGACCATCATCACATTTTAGGTTATTATAATTGTCTTAATGTCGAAAATGGTGGAGTCATGACCCTTGTGGAAGTTGTGTCTTAGTGACCACACCTAAACTTACCTGTTCTTGATGCCAGAGGTCAACTTCAAGGTCATAAAAACCCTAAATACCTCCTGAAAGACTGAAGTCTCCAATTTCTTCTATTTTGAACATGTCAAAGATACATATTCAAGGTCTCCTTACATGGAGTCCTTTTCAGTACCAAGGACAGGGAAATTCTTAGAAAATAAGAGCATTCTTAATGCCAAGATGCATGCAGAATTTCGGTGCTTGCTTGAATTTTTTTCCACTGCAATTCTGCCTCAGCCTCAAAATCATGGTAAGCATTCAAGCCTATACATACACAACTTGTTGTTCAGAAAGTAAAAAAAAAAGAAAAAAAAATTTAGTCCAAACAGAGAACATACATGTGGTGTTAACTCATACTGTTTATTATTGAAAGCACACACAACAGAGATGTCAATGTAGGTCAGCCCTATCATTCAAACAAAGTTTACAAAAGCAGCACTTCTGTGTTATTACTCTCATCTGACTCTCAGTTAGCCTGGGTTCCATCCTGGTTAGTTTACGTCCGCTCCTACAGTCGCTACTGTAGGAGCGGACGTAAACTAACCAGGATGGAACCCAGGCTAACTCTCAGTAGGAACAGGCACATTTCCAAGTCTATGGTTGTAGCAAACTGTCTGAATGCCCACACTTCCACCAAGCTGTTTGCTTTAATCTCCAGCATATCCCTTTCGGTGGCAAAAAGTATCCATTAGCCAGAGAAGGTCGCCAGCCACCGTTGGTGGGGGGTCAGGGACAAAAAAAAAATGGCCATATTTAAAAAGCTAATGATCATTCCCCCACAACCTCTGCTTGGAGAGTAGTTTGCTTAGGCCACATGTCAACAGCCATGTTTTGGCTCTCTAATGTACTTCTTTGTTTTTTTATCTCATTGCAGAATCTGCATTCTCTTGATTGTCATGGAACCTATGACAACTTGATTTGCACTAGATGAGACTTTTTCTCTATGGCCTGTTTCCCCCCCAGGGATAAATGAGATCTCCCGTCAGCAGCTTTGTTCCCAGCATGCTCCAGGATGTCAGTTCGTCTTGTGTCGTCTGCTGCAGACTGTGTCTCTCCAGCACGGTCGCTATGGTAACAGGAACAACCTGTAACCATGACAACGATTCAGTTCGTTTACTTTCCAACACACAAATTTTGAAAATCACAAGTACATGTATTAGTTTGCAGTAACAGAATGGAAGACAGAACATTGTATACACATGAACAAACTTGAAACACTTCACAGTATTGTACTGAGAAGTTTGAAAATTTTCTAAAAAAATACCATACAAGCTATAATGATATGGCAAGGTGGTTTATGAAAAGGTAATTATTACATTTTTATCAACCACCTTGCAATATTAGCTTGTATTCCTTTTTAGGCTTCACTCACACACACTCACTGTCCGGTTTATCGTCTGTTGTTTCCTGTCTTCAGAGGGTTAGAAGCTTGGAAACAATTATATGGAACTTGGAACTAATACCAGGTATTGTTATAGAGAATACAAAAAAAGAACAAAACTATGTTAAAAGTGTTGTCTTAATCTATCCTGCATACCTGCACAGACAAGCACAAGGGTCTTCCTGCCACCTGGGGCAGCACCTGGAATGTTATCCCACCTGCAGTAAGACATAAGCAGTTTGACAGCTGTAAATGGAGTATCTTACAGCAACAAACCTCAAAAATGCTACATTTTCTTTTACCACTTAATAACTACATAATAATGACTTACTGTACATACACATGCCTTACCTGCCATACTTTCCCCATTGCAGAGTTGCAGTAAGACTGAGAAGAGAGGAAAACTGCTGATAGTAGTGATCACCTTGGTCAGCGCTCCCTGTAGCGTCAGCACTGCCATTCGGAACTGTTCATACACAGAGGAAAACAACATGTACAGTTTTCAGAAAATAGTTTCACCACGTTGGTAAAGTATAGGATATAGAAGTTTTCTTTTACACAATCCCAAGCTCAGCCACATTTGGGATTGTTTTCTCCCCGCAAAAGTGCCTCCTACATAACCTTCATGTAGAAATCCTGAATATAGTGTTGTGATAGTTTAGTAATTTAATAACTTGTAGATCTTATGCCTTCAATAACTGATGAAAAGGTATGACAAATATTGTAATTAAGTACTCCTTTTGTGCTTGTAGCATGTGTAGTCCAGTAGTTAGCAATCCTGTCTCTGGACTAAGAGGTTGGGAGTTTGAATCCCGGCTGATGTTGCTCACCCGACATGCACGCTACTGTTTAGGGTCGCAATCCTTAGGACGGGACGTTAAGCCGTGGTCCAATGTTCATTGTGCTTGTCGAAAAGAGCTAGGGGAATTTCCCCGGTACAATGAACCTGTAAATACTGTACATAACGTCTGTCTTCTCTGTCATGACCAGTGGAAGATTAGCTCTTCAGTGAGCTGAACTGGTTCAAGATCACTTTAACTTTTTTTTTTCACTTTCAAACTTACTGCAGTGAAGACGACGTAGTACAGAGCTGTTGTGGGCAGCAGGAACAGCAGGATGGTGAACAGCAAAGTGCCCAGGAACAGCTAACAAACAAAATCACAAACAGGTTTGACAAAAAAGTAGCACAATATAAAACAGAATAGTAGTAATACTAACTACATGTAGAAAGGTAACATTTTCAAAGCAAAATGCACTAGCCTAACAAACTACTGCTTTGTTCATTCTTACTCTTTAACCTCCTTGCTCAAACACAATTTCATATATATATGGTGACCTCTCCAACTCTGTCTTGCAACTTGCAACATAATGTAATCCAACACTGCAGGGTGTCTGCTACAGCACCAGTTACCATGGTGACAGACGTCTGGTCCAGGTCATTGACAGTTTTTGTTTGGAACAGAAGAAGAAACAGAGCAAATAATGTCTAATTTTGTCTGTCGACCTTCATCACTTCAACACTGACCTGATCGACGTTGTACTGACAGGAGTCCACTCTCTGTCTCAGTGGGTTCCACTTTTTCCCCCTGAATAGCCTCCAGAGTGAACCAAGCCCATACAGCTGAAGCCTGTACAACCTGGGTGTGTGTTTGGAATAAAGAGTGGGACAATTTAGTAGCTCAGAAGCTATAATAGGTTTAGTAACCAGACTACAATGTAGGTCAAAGATAGTGAAAAAGACAAACATACAAAAATAAGAGACTTCTAGGAGGCTTAAAGGCATCCAATGAAATCCCAGGACAGCAAAAAGACCATTCTGGAGGATCTCTGATATTGACATTTACAGCCATATACACGTAGTAGTACATTTTTGTCACAAAAATTTGTGCAACTAATGGATATCCCAATAAAGCATCAAGTATCACCATACGATCAAAGGACCAGCAGAGACAAAAAACCTTAAAGTAAGCCACCCAAAACAATACTTCCATACCTGGAAGTAATAGCTGGTTGAAACATGGAGACTTAAGGAATATACAGACTTACCTTCTGACAATGAATGTTGATATTTTGTATATAGCTAAATAGTCCGTTTTTACGAATCATCTTTCTAGATGTGTTCAATGTGTATGTAATGTATATCAAGAGCAGTTCGAACTTTTAAAACGACAATTTGTACAGAAACACAGCAATTCAGCCTATGCTGCTATGTGTTTTTTATGAAATAAACTTGAATAAACTTGATTACCTGGCTGCATATACATAGAAGCAGTAGATATGGAAGGTGAGCATGGACAGGGTGTCCGAGGCCAGAGCTAACAACACAGACAGGCCCAGGCAGCCAGACAGACCGATGCACCACGTGATCAGCTCCAGGTACGGCCGCAAGATGTACAGGTAACCTGCAGAAAACACAGATGGTTCAGTATTGATTTAGTTCATGTATAGGAATATTGTTCATGGGAATTTATGTATTATATAGGAATAACGTGTCATTGCGACCATACGTTGCCCAGCCCATATAGGCTTATAACTAATATAAGACACCGACAGTTATATGTTTAGAAAACAAGAAGACAAATTTATGACACCAATAATGCTGAAATACAACAGTTTTTAGAGAGATATATTCAAGAAACACAAACACTTACACTTACACATGAACCCCTTTCCTGGTGTTAGGGAACATTAAAATCTAAACCTTATGATGCAACCTTTCAGTTCGTGATTTCTGCTACCAGTTAATGCAAATCCCAATGCTGCCACGGCAAGCATGGCAAGCAGTTCAGACCCAAGTGAAATTCTTGTTTGTTTAAAATGCCGAAAAGCAAAAAATCAATTGGTCTAGATCTGGCCTTTCCCAGCAGACTGACCTATCCAAAGCTGGATGTGGTACAGGAAGAAACGTCCCAGAAACTCGTCCAGAGGCCGGTTGAGTTTCAGACCAGCCGGAGCCCCCATCAGCCAGTGTAGCAAGTCTTGTAACTCAGTAGCAACATACTGTGGGAAGAACAACCAATAATCATAACTACATTTGTATAAGGAAAAGTACATGAACAGGAAATGAAAGATTTTGCAACATTATGAAGTATTCAGAGTTATTGGTGATTTCTTGCTTTATTTATTATTGTGAATTTCTTGATGCTTTTGTGTATACAATCCTCCACCAGTACTGTATCATGGACTTTCTGAGTTTCCTCCCCAGCTCAGCACTCAGCTCTACTGTATACAGATAACTAGACACATACAAGTAAACACTAAAACAACTCTAAAAGCAAAACCTCTGTACATGTCGAGGTAATTAGACAAGAACGAAGGATTTTGCAACAGTATGAATTATTCAGAGTTGGTCATTTCTTGTTTCATTCATTATTGTGAATTTCTTGCTGATTCTGGGTATATTCATCCAAATGCAATACTCCCAGAAAAAAAACATTTTGACTTCCAATTTGACCCTCCTGTCAGTCTTTGGTTGCACCATTTCGTCCCCATTTCATGTGGCTCTACTATATACAAATAACAACAGCAAAACCTCTGTACACGAGGTAATTACTAGTAGACAAGAACGAAGGAACTTACATCGGCAAAAGGAATGAGGTTGGTAGCGAGTTTCTTGGTGTAGTTTCCTTTGGAGAGGAAAAGGAACACAGCAACACCCAGGAAGACGTCCAGCACCAAGGACAGGGCATGGTCGCAGACACGGCCTCTATATTAAACAGACATACTGTGAAGGCTTTACAGGATATTGGAATTTTCTTATACATAACCAGATATTTTTCCTACCTTGCTTACGTTTCAATGTCTATCAGACACCTTTCTCAGAGCTTCTGACTAGAGAGCCACTATATGTAGCTGATGTAGGTGGTGCTTTTGCGGCGAGAACACAATCCCAATTGTGAAATTATTTTTGGAAACAAACACACTTAAAACAAGATTACCTGTACTGCTGGTCATTGCAGTGAGAACTTTCCTTGCCTTCGCTGGCCTCACCATGGATGCAGACTGCATTGAGATGTCTGATTCGCAGGGCCACTTGGCTGCTGATTGTGGGGTACTGTAGCACGGAGCACATCAGTTCATTCTGACAAACTCTGAAATCCAGATGTATTCAAAATACTTAATTAATGACAAATTGTAAATGAAAGAAACATGAAATATACAGTACTTAGAAAGGACAACTCAGTCAACAGTTAAGTGTAAGTATATAATTATGTTTTATTCTACATTAGGTCTTATTGAACACATTCATTTTATTGTTTTTTTGTTGTTTGTACTTTGCCATACATTATGCCATGTACAACTGCTGTGCAATAAAGTTCTTCTTCTATGTAAAAGTCTTACTTAGAGTATGAATGCAGAAACTGAGAAGATGCAGGACCTGATACAGTTTTGCTGCCCTGAAATTGCACTGGTAGTTTTCACAAAATATACTACGTAGAAAGTCAGTAACAACTGTGTGAAAACATTACCTGGAAAAACAGCTTCTCCTGCATATTCTGAAAGTTGTTCTTGTGGCCAGTTGTATAAGACACAGTAACGTCCATACTGGTGTGAGAATGCATGATGTCACACTGACGCGTTTGTTGCTGATTGACGTACTATGCGTCAGTCGCAGCCCCCACTCTTTTTCAAAAAACTGTCGGTGAAACCTTAGGGCTGAAAATGCCACATCGAAATCTGATTGTTCAGCAGAATTAACTGAATCACCATCTGATTGGTTGCTCACCACTTTGAAGTCTGACTTCAAAATGTGTGCTTGGTCATAGATGATCAGTATTTGAGGCTCACTTTGGGTCAGGTGGTTGTTCCAACTACCTTGAGGGTCTACGTGGGGTATATCAGTATCCTCTTTAGTCATTTCAACCCAGCAATCTTGTAACAGGTTGGATATAGAATTACTTGGAACGTCCCCAACAGAGTCCTTTGCAGTACTATTAACCCATTTGCCGAGGATTCCAAGTTTGTACGTCCCTGTGTGCAGTTTAGACTGGAGTAAGGTTTGAACTTCAGATGTTTTCAACCCCTGGGTAGGGTGTAACACGGAAAACACGCAGACGATCTTTTGGTCCAGGTCTTGCCAGCCGACAAGCCAGCCGCTTTTGGCAGGGAGACAGCAGCGTGGCAGGAACACCTTCATGGTCTGCACTTCAACTTGACAGTAGGAGCTGTATGGGGAAGAACAGGAATCAGAGGAAACATTTTCATTTGGCTAGCTATTATAATAAACTTGCTGCCATCGCAACTAGGAGCAGATAAATAAGTGATCACCACATGTCACAGCCAGGAAGTGGTAGGCAAAAACCTGGTGGTACTTGCAGTTGGGTGGTTTGCCTACCAATAATTTGCATATTACCAAAAGTTGATGTGAACAAAAACAGGGATTAATTGCTCATATTATATAAGTAACATTAAATAAATATAATTGTAAACAACAAAATGAGTCAGACTGAGCAAGGAGATTATATATTAAACCTCCTTGGATTGAGGAAACATTGTATTTGTCATGAATTTGGCAAGCTGGCTTGCTCCCCTCAGAGATTTCACACATGGCCAAGGACTGACCATTAGGCACCAAACTGTCCTCTGGTCAAAATTATATAACCGTTAAATATAGGATCTGCTTGGAGATTTTAGGGAGGGGCGAAAGTTAGATGTGGAAGCGCTGCATTAAATACGTTTACAAATAGTTCAACCAGCAGATTCACGGACGGCATACGGTGATAAAAACAAGACTTATGCATCAGAATAACTTAAAACGTACCTAAAACATCACAAAGTTCGTGGAATACCTTGTCACAACGTTACGTTCTGTAGCCGAAACCTACTTGCTTTTTGGAAGAAACCATTTGTACAAAGGGGCTTTTGAAGTGCAAACGCGTTTGTAAAAATAACAAACCCTAAAACATGAAAATAGGCTTACTCATTTTTATCGTAAACCATGATCTCATACCACTTATTATATCGATGATGATAGTTCAGGTTAACGAATTCTCCAACATTATATTTGAGGAGTTCATCAGTTTTATTTCTGGGATTGACTCATCTGGATCAAGCCATCCAGACGAACCAGCATAGGGGTGTGAAATCTGAACAGTTTTTTGTACAACCGTAAAATTGTTTCCATTAAATAATCTTCTGTCATATATTCTATTGAAATCATACTTTATTAATCGTAAATATGAAATAGATTTGATTTTTAGACTCATGGAAAGATATTTAATGATGATGTTTTTGATGGTGATGCAACTCGGGGGGAGCCTACCTTGATTCACAGTGAAACATTCCTACGAAAATGGCGGCGGATTTGTCAAAAGGTAAGGAGCAAGACCGAGAAATATCGCCAAACCTTGGCATGCATGCCTACGCCGAGGCTAACTACGGCGACCAAGGGGATGCAGTCACCAAGGGAGGCAGTCTGGAGTATTTTGAAGAGGCGGGAGAAGTCGTGGGGCTCATAAACTCCATCCCGAATGTGGCCGGGGACCTCATCCCAATGGAGATGGCACTGGAACGGTTCACCTGTGAGTACTGTTATTTATTCAGGGCTCGAATTATGCTTTTTCAGCAGGTAACGTTGAAAATAACCTGCACCAGACAAATTCTACCTGCACCACTCAGAGTTTGAGAAGTATGGTTTGTATGAATTTTTTTTTCAGAAAGCATAATTGCCATTAATATAAGAAATTTTCTTGTAACGTTACATGCTTCATAGGGAACAGTAAATATTAACCTAGAGTCCAGCCTTGTTAGCTTTAGTCCACTCCCCAAGATCCGCTACCCGGCCACAGGACAGGGACAAAAGCTAACAACGCTGGAATCTAGGCTAATAAGTAAATCAACATACAAATGTACATGTTGTTTAAACCCAATAACGTTACATGGGCCAGTGCAGGTAGACATCAGTAATACCTGCAGTCTGCTCCAATTTACCTGCACTAACCAGCATATACCCACATACGACATACTTACATGGGCCAGTACAGGTTAGGTGCAGGCAGATATCAGAAATACCTGCACAGTTCCAATTTTACCTGCACTAACCTGCATATACCCACGTATGACATACATGTACTTACCAGTACAGGTTAGGTGCGGGTAGACATCAGAAATACCTGCACAGTTCACTAACATGCATATACCCATGTACTTACATTGGCCAGCACAGGTTAGGTGCGGATATGCACCCAGTATTTCTAGCGCTGTATATTTATGGTCATGATTGGCCCTTCTGAAAGCATGGCTGATACACATGCAAATTTTCAATGCAATCTTGACACTTTTTAGGTAAAAAAAGTAAGTGAATAGGGTTTTGTGATGTGAATCATGCATCAATTGTTAATTGATTAGCCATTGTTTATAGGTAATTGTTCATTGATTAGCAATTCTTTATACAGGTAATTAACAGTGACATGTTGTGTAACATTGTTGTATAAATACATTAGTGAAACCGTTGTTGTTGATTTTCCTTCCACAGTTATTGTTGACAAGTACCAGGAGCAGCCTCATCTAATAGACCCCCATCTTGGTAAGTCCTGATTTTTTCCAGGTACAAATTTAGTACCGATTTTGGTGGCTGAGCTGTTAGTTTGTGTGTATCTATGCCCTGACAGATTAGGTTGACAGCACATGGGTGGGGAAAATTGAGGCAGGCAGGATGACAGGCCAAAAGGTTAGACACACTCCTGGAAATTTCCTAAAGTTTCTGATTCTGATACATAAAAAAAGGGTGAACTTGAAGTGGAAGTTACCAGAATCTGGTCGTGAGCCAGAGTTTAACGTGTATGTATGTAGGATTTAGGAAGCCTACGATTGCATGATCCTCTTAACCCTACAACCCTGCACTGCTTCTATCCTGGTCTGTATTAAAGAACGTTATACAATCTCCTTGGTTATGCCAAAAAACAGTTGCTCATGCTTCTGGATATGATTTTGAAAACGGTCAGACGTTTCAGGTAGCATCCACATTTGTTAGTGACACTAGAATCTCCTTGGTTGTTTCAATAAATTTACGAAAGTCTAAAATAATTCCTGGAAGTCTAAAATGTCTGACTTTTGTTGATTCTTGCTCCGTCTCTACAGAGTCTATCTTGGAGCAGTTGTTGAAGATGGCCAGGGACAGGACCCACCCACCCGCAGCCATGCACCTGGCCTTCAAGTTCCTGTACCTGGTTACCAAGGTGAGTATAGTGGGCGTGGCACGTCTGGGATATTCTATCGTCGGAGAGGGGGTACCAGCTTCTACATATAAGCTGCCCTCCCCTTGACTATTGATTGGAATAGCCGACGTCTTTCAGACATGTATTTGCAGGGTAGTTTGCAGTGCTCAGCAACTTTTTCAGTTTAAAGTTAAAACTTTTGGTCCAACACAAAAAAATTCTCTCATCTAGAGCTTTCGACCAGTCACTCTGGTCTTCCTCAGTAGACTGACCCAGTGACGCTTGTCACGTGGCTTCTTTGAAGTGTGACGTCAACACTGGGTCAAAGGTATCTTGTAGAGTATGTCGGCCCCTGTCGCGGTTCAATGAAGGGTGATGGGCCCTGATGTATATGGCTTCCTTCACACCTCTCTCTCTAGGTGAAAAGGCTCTAGGTGAGAGAATTTCTTTGTGTTGGACCAAAAGTTTTAACTTTAAACAATGTAACTACCAACACAGATGAACTTTCATGATAACTTTTTCAGTTGTGTTTACGGTTTAAAATATTTGTCAAAAGCTGTATGTTATTTTTACAGATGAGGGGTTACAAGGTGATTGTCCGACAGTTACCCCACGAGGTGGCTGATTTGGAGCCAGTTCTTGAAATGCTGACCAACCAGGACCCTGAAGACCACGAGGTACAGCACTTACTTAGAGATTATATCTTGACATAGCTATAGCATGTCTGCATCTATAATTTCCATTATCCTCTATTTATTTCATTTGTTATATTTTATTCGCTTGTTTCATATAAGTTATTAGTTTACCGTATGATTTTGAAACACTTTACCAATATGTTATTTTCGTAATTAAGCTTCATTGTACCTTTGTTTTCCTGTTTGTTATTTTAAGCTAATAAGTATATTTTGTAAATTTATATGTCCGCAGGGAACATTGAAAAACGCCCTTGCAGCGACATGTTTTACCCTGGGTAAATAAATAAAAATGAATGAATAATAGCCTGGCTACATCATACTTCTAGCAGCCCTTCCACTGGTTAGGCCCCTAGCCAGACTACAGTACACTTCTAGCAGCCCTGCTAATGGTCAGGCCTTTCTAAACATGATGGCCAACATCTCTAATTCTAGAGCATTAAGAACATCTTAAAGTTGTTGATTTAAGTATCATAGATATGCTAACATGGACCAGTTATTGTCAGACTGTGAACTGTCTGTTACCGTAGTGTTGGATTCTGTGATGACTGGCTCTGGGTATGGTAATGATTCTCTTGAGTTATAAGTGTATGTAGCCACAAACTCTTAGGAAAGAGGCCCAAGCAGTCCCTGACAGTGAGAGATTTTGGAACACAGCCTGATACAAGACATTGGCATGCTTAGTTATGCCTTCCTCACATCTGCTGTAAAGTGTCCTGTTGGTTACAGACCTGGGAGACTCGGTACATCCTGTTGCTGTGGTTGTCCATCCTCCTTGTTTATTCCATTCAACATGTCAAAAATACCTGCACAGCTCCAATTTTACCTGTCCTAGGTGCATATGCAGGTGGTATTTTCGAGCCGTGTGCTGTAATGTCATTACTACCCCCCCTCTATTTGTTACAGACCTGGGAGACTCGGTACATCCTGCTGCTGTGGTTGTCCATCGTGTTTATTCCATTTGACATGTCAGAGATACCTGCACAGCTCCAATTTTACCTGTCCTAGGTGCATATGCAGGTGGTATTTTCGATCCGTGTGCTTGTAATAATGTCATTACTACCCCCCCTCTATTTGTTACAGACCTGGGAGACGCGGTACATCCTGCTGCTATGGCTGTCCATCATCGTGCTGATTCCGTTCGACATGTCGCGCCTGGACAGCAATCTGCGCTCGCAGTCCGGCGAGTTCCGCAGACCTGTCATGGACAGGATCCTGGACGTGGCTAAGGTTTGTTGTCATTCATTATCAGGGCTTGAAACGAAAGGAGGAGGAGTGCCTTACAACATTTTTAAGAATAGTTCATAACATTGTAGCAATTAATACCCAAATCGGCAGTTTTTTGCAGCCCACACAGGGGCGTACCCGAGGGAGTCATGCACTCAAATATCGGCCCATAAACACACGCACTGACACATACAGATTTTCTTTTTTTCATCCCACAGTGGAACTCCTTACCCGGCGCGGTAGTTATGGCTCCCAATGTTGAGTTGTTCCGGGCTGGGCTGGCGGCCTGCACGCCTTAGCCTTGACCTCCCCCCCCCCTAACGGCACCCCTTGCGGGATTATCTGGGGGTAATATAGAAGAAGAAATCCATTTCTGTGCACCCAACCTAAAAATTGGGTGCACAAAAAAGTTTTTGGGTGCACCATATAAAACAAAACCTAATTACAGATCTTATTGCTCCTCTTCTGAGCTTGAATCTGAAATGGGAGCTAACTTCAAAATCTCACACAAGTACTACAACAAAGATTTTATCATTTTTCTGACCTTTTAATGCCAAGAATATCCTGTATCCTGTATGTACAAAAATACCTACAAAAATATTTGGGTGCACCAGTGCACCCACAGAAAAAAATTAGGTGAACAGCTCTAAGTGCCAAAAAACAGTTACTCAAGCAACTGGATATGATTTTGAAAACGTCAGACGTTTCAGCTAGTATCCACTAGCTTTCGTCAGTGACTGAGAGACCAGAGGGAGAGACCAGAGACCAGAGAACAGCTCTAAATTTGGGTGCACTGAGGTGCACATGCACCCAGTATTTCGAGCTCAGATTATAGTATAAAGAATTTTTCATGTTGTGTCATTCATTCTGATTGTACATTTGCTTCAACAGCACCTGTCATAAGAGACCATTTTGTCAGATTTCAATGCTCTTTTGTTTCAGACCTACATAGGTGTGTTTGATACAGCAAGAGAGGCAGCTGCTTTCCTGATTTCCAAGTGAGTGTACAGGTTTACAAAATGCAGAAGTACAACTGAGAGATTATTTTAGCATAGAAAATGTCTTAAAGTTTGTGTTTGTCTTGATTTATTGTTGTTCTCTTCTCTGAGCTTTGTACACTTCATTGTGGTTAAACAGTTTATGATATCTGAATCTGTTATTCATCTTCTTCTTCTTATTTAGACAGAAAGGACAAAAACTGTGGTCACGGGGACTTTTATATATGAAGATAATATTATCAATAATATTTTGTTATTTATTCAGGTTCCTGACCCGTCCTGATGTTCAGAAGCAGCACCTTCCAGCCTTCCTAGACTGGTCCCTGGTCACCCTCACACAGGCTAACCGTGAGTCATCCAAAAAACCCTTTCTTTAGCAATAGACTGTAAAGTAGACTGTTTAGAAGCGCCACCTACGTGTTATGATACAAACTGCATCTTGACAATTGTCTGTCTACATGATGTTTGAAGGCAACAGACATGCATATAACAGAAAATCAAAGACAGGAAATGAAGTAACCTTTTCTCGGACCTCTCTAGGACCTTTGACCTAACTTCCTGTCAGTGTCTTGAAGTGCCTACATGTGGAAATAACTATGGAAATGCAGCAATAAATTAGACACACCTGTTTTAGTTTCTGGCAATGTTTTTTTTCTTTCAACAGCAACCAACGTACGTGACATGGACAAGATGAACGGTGTACTACAAACTTTGGTAGGTTCAAACCCCTACTGGGGGTATGTCAATGTGAGCTTGATGTGAATTTGGCCCAGAAGCTGGCTGTTTTGAAATAAAGCAGATTTGAAATAAAGATTATGCATTTTACATTTTTTCCAGTCTCTGTTGTTCAAGCATGGGAAAAGAGAGGATCTCCTGACATTTGGTAAGATTCTACTCTTACATGTATGTAGATTTCTCTGCTTAGCATACTGGTAGTATGGTGTGTATAGAAGCACTATCTATGTATGGTAACACAAACGGCATGCCACCGAAAAGTATTCCAGTACTTGTGTTGTGTGGGACACAATTGTCAAAATTGTTCAGGTATGGACTTCTGTACCTACATGTATCCCTGATGTATTTCCAGCATTAAGGTCCGTAGCCCTATATACCTTTATGTACATGTAGGGCAAATCAACTGTATTGGTCTTTTTTTTTTTTAATATAATGTGCTGTAGTGAGCAATACCCACTGATTGTACAATGGCTCAATCAGTGGGCAATCAGTGGCTCACAGCTGCCAAGTTCTCAATTGCAATGAAGGAGGTGTCGATGGACTCTGACTTTGAAGGACTGTCTTAAAAACTGTGTCTGTAAACTGGTCTGTAAACGTACAAGAAATCTAGAGAATCAGAGATGTGTAATTAAAAGGTAAAATTAGTTTTCCTGACATGTTATTGCCATCCCCACAGCGCCTGTGGTTCTCAAGAAGTTGGTATCGATGAAGATGGAGGACAGTAAGAACACTCTGCTGCGCAAACTGGCCATCAAGCTGATTCAGAGGATCGGCCTCACGTTTCTCAAGACCAGGCTGGCTTCCTGGAGGTCAGGATTTCATTATGGTGGAAGTTCTGTAACAGTGGGGGGTTTGTTGTTCAAGCATATAGGCGCTACCAACTGATCCGGCAAACGGGTCTAGACCTTTTAGCGGAGTGGTTAGAGCGTCTGGTTATGAAGCTCTGGTGCCCGGGAGGTCGTGGGTTCGAACCCCGGCCCGGGACCAGAAGGGTTTTTACTGCTCGCCTCTGTTTCTTACAGTTCATCTGTGTTGGTAATAATCATGATCAGGACCTCATTTGCATTATTTATGAGGATAAGCTAGAATAGCGTTATTTCTTAAGATAATGCTGTCATTGGATTGAGAATATAATAATTACTGATATAATATATACAAGTAATTGCATCAAAATTTTGCTAATGAGCAGGATTGTAACTCATAGTTATAATGCCAAACTTGATTTGAACACAAAGAGTACATGGGGATCAAATTTTAATGACCACTGTCACCTTCATCTGGGTCTTCAATGACAATCACTTCCAATCACTCTCTGGCACGTTTAATCAGCTCATTATGTCAAGTCTTGTGTGAATAAGGTCTGTAACTGTAACTCTCATGGGTTTACCTTTGGAAGTGATTGGTCATTAATGAGCATGATAAAGGCGTCAGTGGTCATTGAAAACTTGATCCCTGTGTACATTTTGTGTTGGAATAAAGTTTAACATCATTACCAGGGTCTCATTGTCAAGTTTGTTTGTGATAATTCATCTTTCAATGAGTATTTATTTAGAGACTCTTTTTACACAACCAAGTCTTTTATGTGGTTGTGTAAAAAGAGTCTCTTTACTCAGTGTCTTACCAACCTGATGAAACTATAATTCACGCATCTCTCAATGTCTGGTGAAAAATTACCACAACATGAGCTGTTTCTCCATCAGATACCAGAGAGGTAGCCGGTCCCTGGCAGAGAACCTGCAGGTTGGCGGGCAGGGCGCTGTTGCCAAGGCAACGGTTGCTATGCAGGATGAGGAAGATGAGGATGACTATGATGTTCCTGATGAGATTGAAGAAGTCATCGGTATTTTATCTTCATTCTCTCTTTGTTATATGTGTGGGTTTGTCTCTCTGTCTATCCTAATTGACTTAGTTGCATGGTGGGTGGGAGGTGATTTTGACAGTTGATTGGTAGGGAGGGCTTTCTGAGGATGAGCCAGCAAGTGCCTCTAGAAGTGATGCCATAGTATCATACCTGACTGAATTACATCATACAGTCCCCTCCACTGATGCAATTGAAGGTCACGAAAACCTAAATTACTCCCCAGAAGTCTGAAATCTCTGATTTCTTGCATGATTGTACTCACTCGTTTTTCTTTTTCTTAAAGCTAAAGATGTCTTTTGTTCTTACAGAACAAGTCCTCCGAGGCCTGAAGGACAGAGATACAATTGTACGCTGGTCTGCTGCAAAAGGGTGAGATATATATGTGTAATTATAAAATTAATAAACCTTAAAGTTGAGAGTCTACATTCCACATCATAGTTACCAAAGGTGTTACCAAAATTTAAAATGGCCAAACTGTTTCCATTGCCATATTGTATCCATCTGCCACTGAACATCCATTTACCTTTTGGTGGCAAATGGATACAGCTTGGCCGAATCGATCATACTGTCTTTGCAGCCACCGAAAGATCTGCTTGGAGATTACTGTAATTCACGTTATATTCACAGTAGCAAAAGTTCACGGTCTGAGAAAAATGGACATGTTTACGGAACTATATATTCACTGTGGCGACAGGTGCAGAAAAAAAGAAAGTCCAGGAATTATTTGTTAACTGTAATGATAAGTTCACAGCACAGAAGTGACAGTGAAAACAGTGAACATAACAGTACAGTAAAAAATCAGGAATTACAGTACATGTATGGTAAATCTGAACTGAATACATCATGTTGTCTTTTCCCCCAGGGTTGGTCGTGTGACCAGCCGTCTGCCAAGGGAACTGGCTGATCAAGTTGTGGAAGAGGTTCTGGACTGCTTCAGGTAACTTCTCCAAAGTTTTAGCTTACTTACATACTTAGTATACTTACTTGTATTTTGAGTTCCTGCTTGAGGCAATCCAGAAAGCCTCCTGCACAACACAGCCCTCCCTTTGTAGCTCATTGGTGTCATGCAGGTTTGTATCAGAATGTAGATTGTTCAAGTTGGTGACTCTAGGTCTTCCCCCACCTCTTTTTCCTTTAGCATATGTTTAGGCTCCCAAAGAACAAGACCAGAATTTTTAAACACTCCTAAAAATACAGCCTGATAGAAACAATTATTTGGTGGCTGTATATTCCTGGAGTGTAGCACATGTTTTGAAATTTTGAATTGTATATAGTAGAGGGGATTCATTCCTCAAGCTAATAACCGGCATCTTGCGCACGCAGTGAATGTGTGTGACAGGCTGAATAAAAGTTCTAAACGGGAACTATGCGGCTCCAGGTGTCTTACTGAGGGACAACTGCATGTGCAAGATATCGGTTAGCTTGAGGAATGAATCCCCTCTACTCATCATCATCTTCGACACTGCTCATCCCTCTAAGAAGAGGATTATTAGCAGCTGCGCGGATTAGTGACTGTGTGCAAACAAAGGGTATGGTAGGGGTGGACGTAAACAAGTGCAAGGACAGGACAAGTGAAATCAATGGTGCTAGTATTACACATATTTACATATGTACAAGGACAGGGAGGCAGCTCAATGCAGCGAAGCCCATCCCAGCTCTGCCTTGAACTGGGAGATGGACTTCGCCTCCGCCACACTGGGCTCAAGTTCATTCCACTCCTTGATTTGAGGGAAGAATGAGAGCCTGTAAAAGTTGTTCTTACTCGCGATGGTCTGCAGCTATATACTGAAATTTTGAATTACTGTTTCCACAGTCTTCAGGAGGCTGACGAGGCGTGGCACGGCGGCTGTCTGGCCCTGGCAGAACTGGGGCGACGTGGTCTGCTTCTGCCGGCAAGATTACCCAAAGGTATGACCAGTCATAAGTACACACACACACCTTACACACTCCAGCCATGGGCTGTCATGAGCATTGTGAACAAACATTTGGAATTGTCTTCACTTTATTTGCATATCAATCAATAGGTTGTGCTTATAAACCTGCATTTCCCCTCAGGTCTCTCAGTCACTGACGAAAGGTAGTGGATACTAGCTGAAACGTCTGACCGTTTCCAAAATCATATCCAGTTGCTTGAGTAACTGTTTTTGGTGAAACATTTGGAACATTTGGGACATTTGTATAAGAAGTGGAAGCAAAAGAAACAATGATAGTGATGTATATCTATCATATTCATCTTCGGTCACTCTTGTAAAGTCTGTGTTATAAATTGAAACAGAAACATTTGGATCATTTGTTAGATGTGGAAGCAAAGACCAAAATATTGACGGTTCTATTGCCCTTGTGGCTTATAAATCCAATCTTTGCTCAGAAATGCTGGCCGCAAACGTTGCACATGCCCTGGGGTGCTGGCTGTACTGTCCAGTTTCTGGCATTTTTTTTTCGACGTCGCCTTACAAAATGTACATGCCTCCTGGTGGACTAGCATTAAAGAGAACTATGAAATGAGAAATGACACCAAAAAATTATGTCCACAATGCTCACACAGCCTATGATAGCTGAACCAAAACGAACCATGGGATCATGTTTTTGTTGTTGTTGCCTGTTGATGTTGATTGAAGTCCTAACAGAAACAAACAGGCAAAGAGTCGAGACATTGGGAGGCCATCTTTAAGACATTCAACGAGCACCGCGGGCGACTGCTCCACTGGGAGGGAGCTATCAGTCCAGCTGATGCAACCTTCCGACAACCAAGCAGCAAGAATCTCAGAAACTTTTGTTGTGGAAAGATGAAAAAGAACTCACGCTTGATGGCAACAAGAAAAACACTGCAGTTGAACTTCACAACACACGACCATCTCTTCATGCTCATCGGTAGATGACAAGACAAGTCAAGACAAGTTTGGGAGGTAAGCTATTTGTTCATTCATAAATAATTAACTTATATTAATTATTATTCATATTTCTTTACTAAATTAAGTTCATAGTTTCAATGTGTATATAGCAGAGTGTGACAAAGATGTGGAATGTGTTAATTGGTCTAGGGATTGTCCAGTCATACCTAATTTTACGATTACTCGTAGTTAAGACGTATAATTATGCATACACATGTGTAGTCACAACTTTGAACTTCAGTGACCCTCTGGTGATCAATGATCTTGGTCAAAGGTCATTGACGCTGGCTTGCCATTTTTCTGTGCAATAAGGCCATGTTGATTTGATTATATGGATGACATCCACGCGCGCATCAATTTTCGGCCGTTTCCAAAAAAAAAAGTTTTCAACCATGCTGTAAATCGTAGAAAACAGTTGCAAAATGAGCAAATATATACTGTAAGTTGAACAAAAAATATTGGAAAACAATAACAATGTCGTGGAATGTCAAAACCAAACGAAAAAGACGAAAATGTAAAGAAATGAATTTGAAGAGTGGATTATTCGCCATACCATACCCTGTGTCATTTGTTCAACCTTCATGACCACGTAGATTTCATAATGAAAGCTAACTTTTTTTTTTTTTGCAAAACTTTTTTTTTATTCGCACGCTCGCATCAGTTTTGGGCTTCCCAGAGGATGTCATCCATATAATCAAATCAACATGGCCTAAGAAATAGAAAGAGAAAAAATTAGGCAAATGAGAACAAATAGAAGACAATCAGATAGTACTTTTTAAAGGTTTATTGATATTCGTATCCAGAATAAATAAATTTTCAAAACCCTTTCTCTCCCTCCACACTGATAAAATACTTTTTTCCACACTATATTATATTAAACTCTTATTCCCTGAGATAATACATACACCATATAACTTGATATTAAATCAAGTTTTCCATTATTTGCTTTGTGATTATGTATCATTCATTTATGATCTACTCTCCAAGCAGAGGTTTGGGGTTATTTTTGGCTTGTTCTTTTCCTTTTTTTTATCGGGGTTTCTTCTTTTTTGCACTGGAATTTTTCTCACCCAACAGTTGGGCGAAATAAAAATTACAGTGCAAAAAAGAAACCCTGATAAAACAGTCCAAAAACACAATAAAAATAACCCAAAGCCCAAACCTCTGCTTGGAGAGTATTATGATCAGGTCTCTACTGTAAAGCTAGCCTTAAGTCCCTGAGCTTGTCTACCCTAACGAAAGAAAACAAATGAATAGATAATTATCAAATATACATTTGAGACAATATGAGTTACATGGTTTGTTACCCTGTTTGTGACATAACCCTGTTTCTGATTCAAGTATAAATGAATCAGAATAATAAAATCTACAATGTATTATTCTGATTTTAGAGTACAAAGCTCAACATGGCATGGTCATACATGTGCAATGTGCACACTTAGATGCAATGATCAGAAAAGTTATGATCATTTAAAATTCAAAGATGTATATTAAACAGATATACAAGTGCCACAATATAGGGCTTTGAAAAGTTTGCTCTAAAGTATAACCCCAAAACCTTAAGGCCCTTTTCTATTCAAATAACAATTGGTGTGCTTGACCATTATATAAAGCCTAGTATACAGTACAGTGTACATTTTGTATATGTAGCCATTTGATATTTAAATGATATATACAGCAAGATAGAACAAAGAAACCACCCACACTTGACAAATGTTAGCACCAACCTATTACCAATAAGTCAACTTGCATTCAGTACCATACACCTGATGAACTACAATTTTGTACAAAATCTAAAACTTGAAAGCAAATTTGCCATCTGATTCAGATTGCTAAATATTCATCAACTGATCCCTGAGGAACATTGAGGTAGTAGAGATTGAGAAGTAAAAAAAGTATTGCAAATCATTGCTTATCGGCATAACAGGAGCTTTCAGACTAATTTGCATCATCTTGTCTTGACTTGTCTGACTTTTGTTCCTAAATTTTCGACTTCCAAAAATTTGTCTTCACTTTATTTGCATATCAATCAGTAGGTTGTGCTCATAAACCTGCTTTCCCCTCTGGTCTCTCAGTCACTGACGAAAGCTAGTGGATACTAGCTGAAATGTCTGACGTTTTCAAAATCATATCCAGTTGCTTGAGTAACTGTTTTTTGGCGTATCATATTACCTGGATGTCTAACCTTCATCGACGTAATCATTGCTTATGTTTTTACAATTATACAATCATGTATCAGTATCTGCTTCTGTTTCAAGTACATGTAAGTCCTTTGACTTTGAAGTTACCAGTGATACATTGTAATATGTTAATAATATTATGGCGTGTGGATTTGGTGAGACTTCAATCTTTTCTATATCTTTACAATTCTTGTCTGACTCTTCGAATTCCCTCATGACCTGAATGGAAAGTGGCCAGAAGGTTGCAATTGCTTCCAGTATTTCATAAAAAAATACAAGGGCTCATACAAACAAATACTCTCTAAGTTTGTTTGATTTTGATCAGCGGTGGAGGAGGTCGCAGTGGCTTCTCCTGTACTAGACGAATCCTGTTTGCCATCAGTAGGGCTGGACCTTCTAGAGGCTGGAGATCTAGACTTGATGTGAGTTCGCGGGGACTGATGACTGCTTGCATCCCTTGTCTGGGCATGGCCATCACAACTGGCTCTCTGGCTCTCCAACCATTTACCCTGCTCAGGGCGTCAGCATTCCTGCTATTGCCTCCATCCGTATCAGTTGATTCACACCTGTGTCTGTTCGCCAACTGGTCTAAGCAGCTTCTCATCTGTCGTTTTTTAAGTACCATGTTGTCTGCTGGGTGGCCTGCCTGCCTTCTTTTCGTCGGCCCCCGTTGTTCCCTCATGCCAGTGTATGTGTTGTATGACATTGTGTTCCACCGGTCGTAAGCTGGGTTCTTGTCAAACGGACTTGGAAGGGTGGTCTGCAGGCAGTCCCAGTAGTAGGCGAGTTGGGGGTTTTTGTAGTTGCACGGTCCGACATCACGGGACTGTCTCGATGTTGGAAACTCTTCACCATCTTCTGCGTTTTCCTCAAGCAACAGACTTCTTAACTCCTCGATATCGTTGATGACTCCACTGCTAGATCCCTGAGGTTTATTTCCGGAAGGAGGACTCTGTTGATGTTTGTCTTGTGGCACTTGCTTGGGCGTTGCTGACTTGGTTGCTTTGTGTACAGGAGCGCTGTTCAGGAAGGCCAGCAAGAGGGGCATTTCTGCCGCCTCTGACGTTGAGTCGGCCGAATCTGAGGATGGAGACTGCGGTTCTAGGAATGGTGACTGTACCACTATGGATGATGGTGACTGTACCATGGATGATGGTGACTGTAGCATGTATGATGGTGACTGTTGTATGGATGATGGTGACTGTGGTTTGGATGATGGTGACTGTGGTTTGGGTGATGGTGACTGTAGCATGGGTGATGGTGACTGTACTATGGATGATGGTGACTGTACCATGGATGATGGTGACTGTACTATGGGTGATAGTGACTGTGATACTGGCAATGGTGACTGTACCACAGATGATGGTGACTGTGGTACGAATGATGGTGACTGTACTATGGGTGATGGTGACTGTGGTACGAATGATGGTGACTGTGGTATGGATGATGGTGACTGTGGTTTGGATGATGGTGACTGTGGTTTGGATGATGGTGACTGTAGCATGGGTGATGGTGACTGTACCATGGATGATGGTGACTGTACCATGGGTGATAGTGACTGTGATACTGGCAATGGTGACTGTACCACAGATGATGGTGACTGTGGTACGAATGATGGTGACTGTACTATGGGTGATGGTGACTGTGGTACGAATGATGGTGACTGTGGTATGGATGATGGTGACTGTACCATGGATGATGGTGACTGTACCATGGATGATGGTGACTGTACTATGGGTGATAGTGACTGTGATACTGGCAATGGTGACTGTACCACAGATGATGGTGACTGTGGTACGAATGATGGTGACTGTACTATGGGTGATGGTGACTGTGG